CAGAAAGGCAGGAAGGGAAGGGGAGAGGGTCGGAAGGGTGTGCTTGAGATGGGCTGGGTAATGAGGTGATGCCCAGGAAGAGCAGGGCTTTCCCATTGTTAGGTACCCTGTATCCTAATGCCACAAACATAAACAAAAGTCTTGGCTCTGGCTTCTTACTGGGATCAGCGATGTCCCTCATACATTCCGAAACCCCTGAAATCTATGGGGGTAGGATGGGAGTTGCCATCCAGCATAGTGAGTGTGTGAGGTGTCTTTTGCCCTTTGTCTCACTCCCTTCTTTTTCAGAGCTGACCCTGGTTTCACCCACTCCCCTCTAAAGGGGCAATGTCCCTTCCCCCCACATGTCCAGAGCATCGTGCATTTGGCCAGTGGTCTAGCCAGTCCTCTCCCAGCCTGTGCACTGCTTTAGCCCAACACTAATTAGTAATGCAATCCCACAAAGAGTGAAGCTGCCTGCCACCTCCCCTCACTCATAGTGATTTATGTTCAATTTGTACAAATGGAGAAAATGAGATTTCAAATTTCAATGCCATTTCTGCAATGAGGTGATTAAAAGAGAGAGAGGTATCGCCTTGCACTGTATAGAATATTGATCCCAGTGCTATTTTCCTTTGCAATAACCATTAGCTCAGTATTATTTGCAAACCTCTAATGTGAACCTGGAGATGTAATTTACATTTGTGCCTCACTTATTTGCTTTAACAAAACAACACAAAAGCTTTGGGTCTTTCAATCTATCCATATTGTCAATAAAATTAGCAGCTGGAAGGGAGAAAAAATTATATTCAAACCCATAACTTCCCATTAACTACCACAAGACACAACGCATTGTTCCAAAGGAAAGAGCATATCATGGTTAAATCCCTTTCACAGTCTTCCACTCCCCCTGTAATGTGCTCCCAATTTGGGACAAGATTCGATGAGACAACTCAAAAGTGAAGTGTGGCCTCATGCTAACACAGATGAGCATGGGTGCTGGGTGGCCATGCACCTCTAGGGCCAGGTCCCTGGAAGCACATGCCTGAGGAGCCCATCCTCTGTGCCGAGTGCTCACATGTACCTTCCCAGAGGTCCAGGCCCAGCTGCCAGGACAAGTGTGTACCCATAGACCGATGTGGGGCTGTCACTGACCCTCCCAGAGTCTTCCCAAAAGAGGAAGGGAAAGCCCCAGGCAGGCGGAGGGTGGGGGAGCTGGGAGAAGAAGGAGGTAATCATGAATAAAAGCACAGGCTTGTGTTAGTGCAATTCAAGTGGCAGTTCGTCAGCCTTGGACTCTTTAACAAATAGGCCACACAGCTCCACTCTTATTTCTTGTCTCTGCAAATCCGTCAGCTGCCTACCACTGCCTACCAGACCCTGGAAGAAGAGAACAAGAAAAAAGGGGAAGGGGGGGGGGGTGAAGCTAATGACCCATAATTGTCATGATAGTGGGAGAGGGGCCGGGCAGCTGTTTTACATTCCTGGTATGTATAGTATGCAAATATGGACAAAGGCTCGACACAGTTTCGCTATTGTGGATCCGGAGGGTAACCAAATTAGCCTTTGGCAGCCATGGTAATTGGGAGGTGCTGTTCCCATTAGGAGTCCTGCAAATTATGAAGAAAAATGGACCGAGGGCTTTGTCACAAATAATAATACCAAGAAGAAAAGAGCAGGCGGCTGTCCTTTCTTTTCTACCCCTCACTCTCCACCCTTTGCCTTTATTTTTTTTTTTAATTTCTGTATTGTGTTGTTAATACCTCTCCATTTAGTAATAAGAAAACAGCCTGAAATCCCCCACTAGACGGTGCACAGACTTGATTGCAAGAATGTCAAGTTTGCAAGGGGGGAAGGCATGGCTAGAGGGAGGAGTTCTTCCTCGCCCAGAAGAGCCTGAGGCCTGAAGGTAAGGAAGGTAGAGAAGTACTGAGGCAAACCTTCTGACCCAGAACCCTGGTGGTGACAGTGCTGGAATTCTGAGTGGGATAAAAGATTCTTTTTCAGAGGTATACTCTCTTTATTCCAGTGTTCCAGAAAACCTGGCCTCCTGGGTCATGGTTGTGTTCTGCCTTCAATCTCACAGAGCCTAAAGTCCTGGCTGCCTCTCCTGTCTTAACAATTCAGAGACCAGCTTGAAAACCTCCAGTCATCATGGATTAAGCCCCAAACTCACACAGAAGAGATTCTGAGACGTCTGCCCTCGGGCACTCCCTGGAGAATGCCTAATTCCATGTCCCCAGGATTTAGGTGCCTGGTGACCAGATGGGCCACTGGAATATCAGATGACACTGGGATGTATTTTGTGTGGCAGGGGTGAGAGGAAGGGAATGGTCAGCTTGGGACCAAACTGCCACAGACAAGAAGCATAGCAGTAGTGGGGACAGTGGAGACTGTTCGGAAAGCTGCAATTCCAAGGACTTTCCAAAGCGCACCATATTTTAAAGCAATCAACTCCCAGTGTCCCCTGCTCTTGCATCTGTTCTGTCCAAGGAGCACCTGCCATGAATGAGGCCTCTCTGGAAATACAATGTCTTGCATTTATGTTCTCCAGTGATATAGTGGCATGCCAGGCCTGGCTCTGACACTAGTTTTTTTTTCATTTTACATTTCATAAAAAGGTACAATGTTCCAACATGGCAAGGAACAGGAAGCTTCCGCTTAGCGGAACAGGAGAGCTAGAGCCACAGACTCACCTTTTAATTCAGACAGAATCTGCCATAAGGAAAAACAATGGGCTTTTTCTCAGGTTTGAAGTATCCTCAGAGACTCTGCAACAAAAGAAACCTGTCCATTTTTTTTTTTCACTAAAGGGGAAAGAAAGAATGAATAGCTAGTTGCATGCATTTGAGAAATTAACAAAAATGTGAGACAGACCAGGGAGACATCAGGTCATAGCAAAGTCAGAGAGGGTTGAAAAGCGAGTAGGAGGAAATGACAAATTGCTGGCACGATGTCACTGCAGATGGGCCCAACAGTGATGTACAAAAGGGTCAGAGTGGAGCGGGGGACCCAAATGCTGGCTCCTATTACTTTGTAATGTTCAACCCCCAGTCCAGTAACAAGAGGAAAAAATAGCCCCAGGTTTCTCTATGCTGCCCTCCCCACCACCTCACCCCATTCCTGGCTAGTTTTAAAAGGAGACCTCTCAACATTGGTACAGCTCAGGTTGCACATCTCTCTGGGGAGGAACTTTAGAAGGAAAAATACAAAAGGAAACTCTTTAGCATTTACAAATATCTATATTTTAATTAATTGTTTATTTATGCATAGGAGATTTGGAGTGTAGGCCAGAAGTGCAGAAGGTGAGAGGATTCATCAGAGACAGAGTGGGGAGCAGAACAGGCAGAGCCACTGAAATACACTGCTAAGTGGGCGAGACAGGAGAGGTCTGCTGCATCGTGTGGATCAGCTCCCTGGCCAGGGATCAAACTCAGGCCAAAGAGCTGAGACTTAACCCCTAGACTACAAGGGGGGCCCATGCCTACAAATATTTCTTAAGAAGAAAAAAAGTTTGTTATTTCCCTAAAAAAAGTTTTTCATTTCGTGGTTATTTAGATTTTTGTTTTAGTTCTGTCCCTTGACCTGGCCGGCAAGGCCTCTGACATCTGGGTTCCTGGTTGCTTTCTGACCTTTTTTTCTCTCGCTTCCAACCTCAGAACTTCAGCCACAGTTTCTGGACCTCAACATGCCTTTTCCTATCTCTTATTTTCCAACGAAGTACTTTCTCTACTAGCCATGAAGTCTCCGTTCATGGCCCATTTTGTCTGTCTCTCTGTCTCCTCTTTTTCTCTCCCCTTCTTTCACACACTCTTTCATGCACACACACACACACACACACACAGGCTGACTCTTCTTTTCCCTCTTCCTCAGCTCCTTGCAAGGACACTACTTCCTTGGGCAGCCTTCTCTGAGTTCCTGAGGCTGGAGTAAGCCCCCTGCCAACATCCCTAACACATACACAGAGGCCAACTCATTATAAAGTTCTCCAACTTTCTGTATGAGAACATGGACCACCTCTTCTGTTGACCAACATACTCCAGTCCCTAGCACTAACATAGTGCCTGGCATATAGAGTTGAACCATCAATGTGTGAATGAATACCAGTTAATTATCTGAAAGCTTAATTGATAATCTGAAAACTTAATGGAGAACTTAAAAGTGGAGTTGATAATATTCTACCACTCTGATTTTGCATCAGGCAATTCTGCCTTCCAGGAAAGTCTATGAATTCCAGAATTCTAGCCAACTCCTGCAGAAAAATAGACCAGAGTACACTGCAAATACTGAAGGAACTTGATGGTGCTTGTTGACCTCATGGGTTTTGTCCATGCAGTTTTTGTTCTAGCAGAACCTCCCTTGCCTCCTGTTGTATCTCCGGCCTCTCTTCCTTACTTTTCTCCTTTAGAAATGGAATTCATTTTTATTTGAAAATATTGCAAAGAGTACATTCTCCAATGTATGGTGGCCTCTCCCCTGCACACTTCAGGATCTCAGGCCTTACTCATAACCAGCAAGGCCACTTCAACAACCTTGCAAGAAATTCACGAATACAGAAGCAAATTCCTTTCATCATCAGCTCAATTCAATTCAAGTTACTGAGTATTTATACCTTACGTATATGTGAGTGTGTATGTGTGTGTGTGTTAGCTCATAAAAACTACTTGAAAAATAAATTCCTATAACATGATAGCTATAGAAGAAATGAAATGATAGAAAATGGGACTGCAGATTGGAGTTTGGTAGAAGAATAGTGTTCCTTATGCTGAAGTAGCTTCCTATTTAGAAACGGCAAGGGTGTGACCTTGAGGAAATGGGCAGAGATAGTAAATAGGAATAGAGGCTAGAGCAGAACCTTTCTGAAAAAGGTTTTTAAAAAGATAATTTTGGAAGAGCGCCACACGGGCAAGAGCCTTGAAATATCTAACTATCCAATATTAATGCTCCTTGCCACATGATTTGTGTTGGCCAAAGAGCTTTAGTTAGGTGATGCCTGCAGACAAAGTGCTCATGCACTGGAGTTCGTTTTCTCTTGCTGCTGCTGGGAATCCTTCCTGTATCATATGACAAAAGCCTAGGCTTGCCTCCTTGCAGGAACGAGATGCAATGGAGAGAAGGGTCCAGCTGTCCGAGTGGATTCAAATGAGGTCTCAGACACAGCGAGTTCAGCTATCACTGTGTAGGGCTGAAATGAGTTCCCAGTTGAGGTCAGCCCAAGTGGTCAACTTACAGGTGAGTGATAAAACATCTTTCTTGTTTCAAGCTCCTAGTGAGTGATGATTTGTTACTCAGCAAAAGATAACTGATACAAGGTTCTTGAAAAAGGAGGCTAGAAGAACTTGAGAAAACAAGATCATTCTGTTGGGAATGGCTATGCTTGCTGTGAACACTGCAAGCAAGCTAAAAAAAGGGGGCCATCCCTTAGGGCTGCCTGATCAGAACTGTCACAATATTGTGACTGGTTTGAAATAGCACAGTGAGAGTGGCAACAAAAGAAGGGACATGCCACTATGGTAGTAATGAGAAGAGCAATGTGCCATTACTGGCTCAGTTGAGTTGAGGGAGGATCAGAAGGAAAGAGTAACAGACTCCATAGCAGTACAGCTTACAACTAAATGGCAACCCCCAGCAAGTTCAGCCTATGCTGGGGGAAGAACAGGGTGCTGATATTGACAGGGGTATGTGCAGTGGTGAGTTTCAATGGGTGCCTGCTAGGATCCTTTTGAGGCAAGACGACATAGGGGTTATGGGTGGTATTTGACTTAACAAGGAAATGATTCACAGGCTCAAGTTTTCCCCACTCCAGGCAATTGTCTGTGACTTAGAGAAGCAAGTGACATCCTGAACATAGAGATATGACAGGAAATACAAAGCCCGAGAGAGTTGTTGTTTAGCCTACCCATTACGTTTCTATTTCTATCACCTGCCCGTTATGGAAGCTGATGGCTGATTGTAGGAGCAGTTGTTAGGGGCCAAGACAGAGTGTTGATTAGAGCCTTTGTTCTATTAATAGAATGAAATGACAGGTTAAGCACCTACTAGCTGATAGCAGGGGAAACTATCTTAATCTCAATTTCCTCATCTATAAAATGGGCCTAATAGTAGTTCCTGTCTTATATGGTTGTTATGATTAAAGAAAACCATACATCTGAAGTATTTAGCAAAGCATCAAGTACACAGCAAATTCTTAATCTTAGGATTTTCAGTAGCTATTCTATCCTTCACATTTTCTCAAAGTTCTCAGTAATTTCTTGGGATTAGCCATAAAGATTTCACCATTTAAATACCATCAGTACCATCGCTGCTACTTAAAATATATTAATTAAGGAAAATGGCCTTTATCATAGCATTTGAATTTGGTAGAGAGAGAAGAAAGTTCTGTACTTTCCTTATGTTTGGGATTCTAATGTATTTCTAGTGAAAATCTACACGTGCATTCAACTATATTTGATCTTTATTTCCATCCCATCTAGCTAGCAAGTTCTCATTAAGACATGATTTAAGAACTGAAAGTTCATTAAAAAGATCATTTTATGACAAAGTGAGATGAGCAACGTAGAAATGATTCCATATCTTCTCTAGATCATCCCATTTAGGGCTTTTTTCCAACTGAATCCAGCATAATTCATAGAACCACTGAAATTTGTCTTTCAAACCTCTGGAATAATTCAACAATTAACATCATACACCCTTGTTATCTGCTGCATTGGATCCAAATTGCAACATATACCACTGCTAGCAATTTTCTTCTACAGCTTGCCTACTTTTTCTTCTACAGCTTGCTTACTTTAAGCAGCATTATGATAGAAGTCTTTCTTCTAAATTCAGTTCTAAGTGTAATATTCACAAATAACTTCTGATTTCAATATAATTTTTCCTTAATTTTTGATGATTAGAATGATGAGGGGGAAAAAAGCAGCAATATCACTTTATAAAAAGGACCAAAGTTCCAATTCAGAATGCTTAAAACAATTTTTTTTTCAGATTTTTAAGTGAATAAAACAAAGCTGAGAGTAATGGCAACATTATTAGTATTTCTTTAAAAGCAGGGATCAGTCACTGAAATTTGTGTATTACAATATCAAAATTTGTCTGAACTACACTGCAATAAAATCACAAAATAACACCATTCATGCTATAAAAAAAAAAAAAGAAAAAAGTCATGTCAAGTGTAAATGCATGAGAGGCACCACTAATGTAATTGTTACAAATTTCTGTGGTACAACCAGTTTTCCCAAAATTCATCACAGGTATTCAAATACTGGAGAAAGAATATCTAAAACCTTTACATTTTGCACCTTTGTTAATTTAACAGAAATACTATCAGCAGACATGTTGGAAATTGTATCTAGAATTCCACTGCAGCTCAGAAAGGAGGAATAACAACTGATGTTTCATTTAGTATTATCAGCAGTTCAAGAATCATCACATCAACATTCGTACTTCCTTAAATTTGTTTTCCAAATACAGGAAGATTGTCTTATAACGTAACATTATGACATTTTGCCCAATTCCCACTGTAAAACTCTTAAATTACATAGAAAACGTCACAGGTGATACCCTTACTGTTCACACTTATAAACATTTTACTTTTGGCTTAAGCAATGTGAAAATTGGTCTCTAAGTAGCATGATATACCTGACATCAAGAATGAATTTGATATATTACATAATTCCAACTTTAATTGATACAGGCTTTTTAACAGAATTTTTTAACAGAATTGTCTTGCATTAAGAATTAAAATACAGGGCTCTCCCTGGTGGCACAACAGGTTAAAGCACCACATTATGAAGCTCTCTGAAGCCACTGCAGCAAAAGCTTGATCCCCTGCCAGGGAAGTGACCCACATGGCGTGGCAGACCTCTCCTGATGCGCCCGCTGCTCCCCTCAGCAGTGTCTCTATCTGCCTGTTCTGCTCCCCACTCTGTCTCTAGTGAATCCTCTCACCCACCACACCTATGGCCTATACCTCAGTTCTGTAAACATAAGTAAATAAATCTTAAAAAAAAAATTAATACAAACCAATTCCACTGGAACAAGGAAAACAGAGAGGTAACATCTAACCAAATTTTTTTAAATTAATATATAATATGATGCCAGATTTCTTACTATGACTAAAGTTTACCTTACTAGTCTGTTAGGTATAGTTTTTTATGTGGTTGTCATATTCCTAGAAAGCAGATGTACATTTGGTAAAACCCCATACAATCATTCTTGCTCATTCTCCCTTTTATACTAATGGGATTTCTGTTAGTCAGGGTAAAGCTAAGCTCTGCTGTGGTAACAAACAGACCTTTCTCTAGGCTTAGCATAAGATTCCTGCAAGCTCTGTGGCTCAGACAGTGCTTTCATGTCTTGAAGCTAAGTCATCTGGAATATGGTCTCTGCTGCTGCTATGTGAGGGGAGACAGATGGAAAAGGTACCACCGGGCTTTTATGTGGCTCAACCCAGAAGTGATATATGTCACTTTCTCTCTCCCAGTTCCTTGACTAGAAATAGTCACCTGACTCTAACTTAAATTCTCAAAAAAGCCAGACAGCACATGGATGATTAGTGAGCACCAGTGTCCCAGTGGTTTTGAACATGCTTCAAAAGATTTCAAACTATAGTCAAGTGACTGGTACCAAAGTATTGAGAAATACACAACATTCTAACCACTACTTACGTTCTTTTTTCATACATGTGTCACTCCAAAAATAGCAATGAATCCTATTGAAAAGTATCATGGGTGTATATAATCACCTAAAAAGTTTGTATGTATATACATATGTACATATACCTGTGTATATATCACAATATGCATTTCATATATGTGTGTGCATGTGTATATCATGATGTACATGATATACTTATAATCACAAGGACTAAAATGAAATTCCTTTAGGCTATAGTGGTTTTCAACTGAGGGCAATTTTGCCTCCTAGGGAACATTTGGCAATGCCCAGAGGTATTTTTGGCATCTCAGCTGGAGAGGGTTTTCTATTGGTATCTAGTGGGTAAAGGCCAGGGATACTCTTAAACATTCTTCAGTGCACAAGACCCACCCACAACCATGAATTATCTGTTCTAAAATGTCAATGGTGCTAAGGTTGAAAGACCTGGTCATCAGATGGCCCATGAAATGCCAACTTCCCATTGTGCCCACTGAGTGTTTTTGAATGAAGCAGACAGAGGTAATTGTTTGCCTCCAGCAATGTAATCCTGATTCCTTGTGGGTGGTTCCCAAAACTGCATATCTAACTTTAATGTCTCTCAATTGCCATGTATCAAGAGATTTCTTGGTTATGTATATCTGAATGTCCAACCTTTCTTTATTTCTTATCTTGTACTCCAGTCTTCTTTTTACCAGTACTAATGTCAATGATCTTCCACCCTGCCAGCTACTCCTAAATTCTCCACTTTTCCAATCCCATACATCTCCCAATCCTGTAGAATTTTAGCACTGATAAGACTGTATTCCTTCTCCCTTGTCTGCTATATAGTATGCTCACAGTTATTCCCACAGACTAATAATATTTTTATACCCATAACAGCAGTCTCCATCCTAGCACAACTTCCATGTTGCCACCAGGGAGACAACATTTTAGAGAAGAACAAGTGAAGGATATGGCATCAGAGCTACCTAAATTCAAAAACCACATATTTTGCTATAACATGCAGATGTGCCTTCACCTTTAAGCCACAAATGTAAAAGAGAACTAAAGACCTCTCCCTTATAAAGTGGATTATATGCTATAATCTACAGAGAACCCCTAGTGTAATTTCTGGTACATATAGGTACTCAATGTGTTTCTCCATTATTTGCTATTATTATTATTATATCACTATAAAAATCACTATAAACACTAAATGATTGTCATTTGTAAGGATTAAGCAGCCACTGCTAATGCTTTCAGCCTTCAGCAGTTTATTCCTAGCAATGAATATGGGGCTGGAATCTCAGTTTGGTCACTACCATGCCTGTATTACTTCTCCCTGCATCCACAGTGTTATGACTATAGAGTAGGTGGTGAATAAGTACACATTACACTAATAAATTACAAAATTAAAAAATTGATAAATATGCATATTAATGCAATAAAAGAAACAAAATATTATTTTATTTCCAATTTAAGAAGATTATTATTTCCAACTTAAGAATTTCCTACTCAAATTTCCTACTCAACACTTCTTATAGTCTATTCTCTTTTGCCTGCAAAAAAAAAAAAAAAAAAGCCTCCTGTCTGCTCTT